AATCTTTCCCATGGCTTTCAAACGAATTGAGACAGCTTTCTGCGTCACATTCAATTCATCCGCGAGTTCTTGTTGAGTTTGAGTATCATCTTCATCCAATAAGGCTTGCAATTCGTTGTCTGCGAACGTTTTCGGTGGTTTCCCACGCTCTTCGTTTCTCACGTCAAAATCACCACTTTTGAATTTTTTGAACCACTCGAAACACTGTGTTTTAGAGCATGTTCACCGTAAGCTTCGACAAGCATTCGATGCGATTCTGCAGCAGTTTTCTTCAAATGATAACAAAAAACCAATGCAAATCGTAGTTCGTAGGCACAAAATTCGACATGTTTAAGGTTATAGAAAAATATACCGGTGTATGGAACTTGGGTTGTTGTGTGTTGAAAATCTTCGTCAGCTGTTAGAGAAAGATGATGGCTCTGCAGAAGCGGTCTTACGGTCCCTAAACTGATAGCTAGCACCATCTATAGGGAAATTCCGGTTTCATACTTCTACACCTGGTACCTGTCAAAACCATTCCAGTACTATAATCATACATACTTTGAAAGATATCTGTGAAAATTTCAGCCATTTAGGATGTTCAATTGTTATTTGACAGTCGTTTGTGTCAGTCGATGTCAGTGTTTTTGTAAAAATGAAAAAAATGGAATATCGTGTCATGATTAAATTCTTTCATTTGAAAGACAATACGCCTGCACAAATTAAAACCGAGATTGACGCTGTTAACGAAAACTCTGCCCCATCATTTGCCACCGTGAAAAGATGGGCAGTTGAATTTAAACGTGGTCGTATTAGCTTAGCTGATGATGAGCGTTCGGGACGGCCAATAACTGCGACCACCACCGATAACATCGAAAAAGTTCACCAAATAATACTGGACAACTGTCAAATCAAGGTTAGAGAGATAGCAGAGGCAAGTGGGTATATCGAAAGAATGCGTTTGTCATATATTGACCGAAGAATTGGGCATGCGTAAGCCATCCGCGAGTTGGGTGTCGCGCTTGTTCACTTTGGACCAAAAACACATTCGAATGAACATTTCCAAAGCCTTGTTAGAGCGGTTTAAACAAAACAAGTCGGATTTTCGGCGTCGTTTCGTAATTGGTGGTAAAACTTTGGTTCACTATTATATTCCTGAAACGAAGGAACAGTCAAAACAATAAACTGAGAAGGATGAATCTGCTCCGAAGAAGACAAAGACGGTTTTATCAACCGAGAAGGGGATGGCGTCTGTTTTTGGGGATAGTCATGGAATTGTGTTCATCGACTATCTTGAAGAAGATACAGCAATAACAGGGGATCTACGCATCATTACTTAATAAGCTGAAGGCAAAAATTGCGAAAAAATGCATTTAAAGTAGCATTTAAAGAAAAAGAAAGTGCTGTTCCATCAAGACAACCTGCTCACACTTCAATAGTCACCATGGTCAAAATTTATGAATTGCAGTTCGAATTGGTTGACTACCCACCGTATTCATCTGGCCCCCAGCGATTTTTTCCTGTTTTCTAAGCTCATAGTTTGGCTCAGAGGACAGAGGTTTTCGTCGAACGAGGAGGCCATCGCATCCGTAAACCGCCTATTTTGCAGAACAAGACGCCAACTATTATTTTGAAGGGTTAAAGAGATTAGAGCATTGCTGGAAAAAGTGTATCGACTTAAAAAGAGACTATATTGAAGAATAAAATTGCATTTGACCGAAAAAATACTTTTTATGTTAAGCTCAAAACTTTTCAGACTACCTTAGTAGTTCCAGTACTACCTTAGAGTGTCAGAGTTCACCAGAAGTCCTGGTGAATTCTGATGAACTCTGACACTCCGACATTCCCTTAATAGTAAAATGTATTTACTAGAGAAAGGAAATATTGCTTTGACAGCAAATAAACGTATCTTTATAAACAAAATTACTCAGCAAAAATTTTTTATTATATCAGGAAAAATATTCTACTATAATATCAAATAATTTGCAGAAATAGTTATGCCAATAAAATTCTGTTTTCGCTATAATACGTTGTTTTGTTTATCACTACAAATGTATTGTTCTACTGTTTTTCTTGTCTTACTGCAGCAGCAAAATTATTTGTTTTTTGTATGCTAATATAAACCCTCTAAATAAATTCAAAAGTCTAATGTCACGGAATGTTAAAGATCTAATAGCATTAGTAATTCCGCTTTGCTCTGCTCCTTACTCTGTTCATTTATTCGCTTTGAAAGTTTTGTAGCGATTTTCACAAGATCTGCCGGGGTTTGTCCCAGCATATCAATGCAGCGTGGGTCAGCGCCGTACTCTAGCAAATATTTAATTATTTTCGTACGACGGTGAAGTATTGCGAAATGTAATGGTGTTTGTCCAGAAAAGTTTGCTTGTGATATGTTGGCGCCAGCTAAACGATACGATTGCAAGCGTTTGATGTTTCCCACGACTGTAGCCGCGCACATTTTGTCACTTATTATCCGAGGTTCCCAATGGAGTTGCGCGCCGCATGTCCGTAGCATCGAAATGATCTGGGAAATGTTAGCCACTCGTTAGTCTTTAAGAAACTGTTGGCTGTATTTGTAAATCTAAAGCGTTATCGTAAAGAAAGAAAAAAATTAGAATTGGATAGTGAAATTAGAAGGAATGAGAAAAGCAAAGAAGGAATTCCTGAGTTCGAGTATACAGGATGGATTAGAAGAGTAATGATGATGATAAAGAGAAAGATAAAGAGAAAAGCAGATTGCAAACAGAACTGAAAATCTGGGTATGAGTGTACGTATAACTGCGTATGTGTGCATGTGTGTGTATTTGATATAAATAAACTTAGTCGCAGTTTCAAATTTAACAGATACACTTTAGCAATGAGTGATCTCACCTCGTGATAGTCATTTTCGATCGCATCGATGAGAGGCGTGTGACCAAACCGGTCTTTAGCGTGCACGTTTGCGCCTATCGTTAAGAGATATTGAACGACTTCTATATTTCCTCCGCAACAAGCTATATGCAAAGCTGTTCGACCCTCTGCGTTTCCTTGCGTCATGTCCGCATTCTAAGCAAGAGAAGCTGACTATATTAATAACGTGTCTACAGTATTCTTCTTTTCACATTACGATATTATAACATCTAATTGGTATATATAATCAATATTATCGAATCATTATTATTGAAATATAAATTTGTGCTGATACTAGAGCCAAAACTAATTTTGCAAAGAAACGAAACATAGACGACAGAGAAAAGTTTGAAAGTATATTCAATGAATAAAGTTGTTCTAATTTTTTGTAAGCCTTTTAGAATCTTCCGTTGAGATCTAAAAAATATTAATGCAACATGAACTAGAAGCGTAAATTACTAACGTATTCTTTTAACTGCTTGAGCTTCATGATGTCGCTTTTAATCGTTGCATCGTTCATCATAGCCGGAAGCAAATATGATTTCACATCTTGAAGTTCCTCGGTCGAAGATAATCTTAGAGATTTTTCCACAGCCTTCAATAAGTCACGATCTCCATTGTTGGGTAACCGACCAGCCGTCAATTCACCCCGCAAACTGGTTTCCATCATTAGCCGCTTGGTTTCCACGTCCCATTCGTTCTTTGATAGGACATACGCCAGTTTCGTCAACGCTGCCTCCGGAGTCATATCGAAGCCTGACGTTACTCCTGAATGTTGATAACAAATTACTGACAAATTAATATTTATTTGTTGAAAATATGAACCTAATAATAATGATAATATATGAATCTTTAACGCTTTTATATAATACTATTGATAAAACAACATGTTTACTGTTGATCTTTAGTGTTAATCTCCTCAAAACATTTTCTAAAATCTTCCATCGAGAGAATGAGTAAAAAAGCGAGTAAGCAAAATTTACAAAGACCGGAATGACAAATGATATTGCATATTAAAATAATTACTAGTGAAAAGAATCTAAAGAGCGAATATAAAAATTTGTAATTATTATCCACATAGCCAAACCCACAAAAGCAGATTTTGCGCAGCGTCTGCAGATTCTGTAAATAGCTTGCTGACAGAAATATAACAGGATCTGATGACAGAATATATATGACAGACTGATGGCAGAAATCATGCATGACCTCGTTTCAATGTATTTAAATGGAACATATTGTAGCAATGAGAGATCTCATTTTGGTGATGGTGATTTTCGATCGCATCGAATATCGATGTGATGTAGATTCTGTTCACTTTCTACCGCCAATCTGTTGTTAGATTCTGTCAGCAGACTCTGTCGATATAATAACATCAGACTGCAGACACAGATCACTATGGAATTGTCGACAGATCTTGCTCAATTTGTCGGCAATCTATCGTTAGATTGCTAACAGATTGCTTACTGGGTATATCTAATTATAGCATTACGTATATGTGTGTGTGTGTGTGTGTGTGTGTGATACGTGCGTGTGTATATAATATATGCAGTCTTAACACATTGCATGCGGGAAACGTACTTTTACGTTTTTTGCAGTCTGTCACTAGACCGTAGGTCACGTAAAAATACATATTTAGTAAATTTGTGCTGGAGAGCTAGTATCGTATAAATACGATGGGCACTGTAAGTGTGTACAGTGTTTGTGTTTGTGTTGCTAGGCAACGATTTCCATTGTTTTTTTTTAGAAGTTTAGTTTGTCGAGTTACTTGGTTTAATTGAATATATTACCGAATACCAAACTCCCGCGAAATTCACGAAAAAACGCCCGCTACACGCGTAAGTCCACAGCGAAATATACCCGTATGCAATGTATTAATCATTTTCATTTACAGGGTATTGCATCAACATATAGAGCAGTATGCCAGGTCGCTGCTGTAAGAGCATACGTCAGAAAGTGAAAGCACGCAAAACAGGCTCAAGTTCGCGCGGCGCGCTCTCAGTCATTCACACGGGTCCTTGCAGCAGCAAACCGGCATACTGCTTTATACGAGGGCGGTTCAATAAGTACCCGTGTTAGAAATGAAGACACCATTTTTTCAAAAAATTTTTTTTTATTTTTCAACATAGTCCCCTTTTAGAAAGATACACTTCTCCCAACGTTCCTGCAATTTTTTTAACCCCTCCAAAAAATAAGATTTGTCGAACTCTCCAAAATACGCCTCTGTCTCGGCGATGACTTCCTCGTTTGAGCTAAGCCCGCGAGCCATTTCTTCATGTTAGGGAACAAGAAAAAGTCGCAGGGAGCCAGATCGGGTAAATACGGGAGGTGCGGCAGCAATTCATAACGCAATTCATGCAGTTTGGTGGTTAACAGCCGCATCCGCTTGTTGTCCACCGTGAGCAATCGCGGCACCCATCGGGCCGACAATTTTTTTCATTGCCAACTTATCATGTTAAATATTAATTGCCGTTCCGGTCGACACACCTACGGCCTTTGCTACTTCGCGCACTTTCGTTCGTCGATCAGCGAGAATCATGTCGTGGACTTTTTGAATGATTTCCTCGGTAACCACGTCTGCCGGGCGTCCTGGTCGCTCCTCATCAAAAACGGATGTTCGCCCACGTTTAAATTCGTTGAACCAATATCTAACTGTGGTCATAGATGGCGAAGTGTCCCCATAAACAGCATCCAACTTTGCTTTTATCTCCTCGCATTTTTTCCCATCCAAAATCAAAAAGCGAATTACCGAACGATACTGCTCTTTTTCCATCTTAGCGAAAATCACGAAACACGTCTTACTCGAATGGCTGCCAAATCCAAACTAACCTATCAATCAGTCTGCAATTTGTTTTGCCGTCGTTTGATAGATGACAGCACACGATGATAACACGAACTTCCCTCAGGAACGCCCTGTGTCGTCTAACACGGGTACTTATTGAACCACCCTCGTATTATATATTAACACGTTGAGCGCGGCGTCGATCCTTGAAGACCGACAGTGAACTTTCCGTTTGGCCGACGTCGGTCCTTGGGGACTGACAATGCACTTTTCGGTTGGGCAGCGTTGGTCCCTGGGGACCGGCAGTATTAAAGTTAAAAAATTAATGCAGTAATTTCAACGAAATTTATTAAAACACTTTAGGCAAAAATGTAGCCTAGCTTTAAACGTATTACAAAATGTGACGACTTTTTTGGTCAAATTTCTAGCTGTCTTGCGTCCGAATAGCTTTGTATTTGCATTGTAACATCCCGAACAATATCTTCGGACTTTATGCACGTCTCTTTCTTTTTTTTGTAATTGATGAACAATTCTTTTTTCTTCATTTTTTCTTTTCAACATAGATAGGAATTTCCTCATCTAACTGCCGTGTGAGTGTACCCGCAAATTCTCTACAAAATTTGGTGACTGATATTTTCTTTCCTGTTACTTTTTGAAACATGAACAAAGCATTTACGACAGCAGTATTTAGAAAAAGCTCGAAAGCTAATCTTTTATACCATTTTACAATTTTTCTCAAGGGAGTGCTATACGTACTCATTTGGTCTGATAAGTCAATAGATGTCTTTGCTTTATTATATTCAGCCACAATTTTTGGTTTGGGGCAAAATCCTCTTTTTGTTTTTACATTTATTATTTCATTTGAATTTTTTGTAGACAGGACCAGAACGTCTCTCTTGTCTTTCCACTTCAACACTGTTACACTATTATTATTTCCCTTGGCGATAATTTCTCCGCGTTTCAATTTGGTGGTTGTTACTTCTTTTGGGTTTCCTTCACGATTTATTCGAAGTGTACCAACCAGATGTGTATTTCTTTTATCAATCTTTTCGCCAAATCGACACTGGTGTACCAGTTATTAGTACACAACGTATGACCTTTATGAAATAAATTGTTAGATAAACACATTATAATATTTGACTGTGTTGTATTTCCTTGTAAAGAGTTTTTCCAGTGTAGACACAAAAATTGTACGTGTATCTATAACCACAATAAAATTTAAATATTTTTATTCCATATTTATGTGTTTTTGTTTCAAATACTGTCTGAATATGATTCGCCCGCGGAATGAGATTAGTGATTCGTCAATATACAGTACCTCGGGTGGATCATAATATTTTTGAAAATTTGTATTCAGTTCGTCTAAGATAAATTGAACTTTTGATAAACGATCAGATGCGTCAACTACTCTATTATTTGCGAAACGTAACATTCTCATGAGAATTTCAAATCTATCTCTGCTCATTACTTTCTGCGGGAATGTTTGAGCAAACAATGGATCCCGAGACCAATACAGATGTAAGGATGGAAGCTTCACCAGTCCCATCCATATTATTAGTCCAAATAAACGTTTTATCTTATTTTTGTTTGTTGGGATCCATTAAACTAAACATTTAGAGGCGATTCTTGAATGTGCAGCATAAAGATTTGTTTACTCACTCACGTGTTCAAAAATTTCGTCGGTGACAAAAGTGCGTAAAAATTTTCCACTTAACTACAATTCCGCACTTTCTCATTAGTTTTCTTGGTACCGTAGGCACTTGTAAAAGGCATAATATTGCGTTGATTGCCTTTTGGATCAAACCATTCATTTTGTTCACTGGCTTCGTTAACACTTATTGCACAACTGTCATTGTCAGGTTCCATTACCTGGTCTAATGAATTATCATCTTCCGATGATGCCAACCATAATACTCGGCGATTTCGACGTTTGGATAATAAAAATAAATTATTCGACGTATCAGTATCTTCTCCTCCGAACATTTTTTGTTTTACGGACAATAAATATTTTCAAAAACAAACCAAAACTTTTTATTCGCAAATCGTCTCTACATTTTCGTGGCTTTTTTTAAACTAATCGTCTCTTGAAGGTCGTCTTTTTGCCGTTCCCCTTCCGATTCTTTTTGTTTATGGATTGTTTGAAAAAAACATAAGCAGGTAAAACAAAATAATCCTCTGTTTACTCTCCCTATCCCAATACCGCTTGCGCGCTCGTTAGGTACTCGCTGCTGGCTGAACGGAAAGGACAGCAATATTGGCGCCGCGCTCAACATGTTAATGCAATATTTTATACAATAACAATTTAGGATATTATGAACTCTATTTACTCGATTGAAATGTGTTTACGACTTCTTGTCGCATTTAAATGCATAAAATTTACATAATAAATTCTATTTTATTAAGAATTTACCCGTAAGGAAAAAAACTATAAGAGATTTTTGGCTGAAAGAAACAATTGTTGTTCAATAATACACCAACAATTTTTTGCATTCTTGTGCATATATATATATATATATATATATATA